ATGCGGTTTCGCTGTGTCGCCATCTCCGAAGCCATCTCCCTGTCAAGATTGCACCTTTCATTCGACTACACGTCTCCGAAGATGCCCGAGGTAGAGGATGCATCCATGTTGGGAAAGGCCGCCCCGAGACCTGCTTGGCGCAGCGGAGCCCTGGTGACAGGGGACGACGCGGACAAGCCGCCCGATGGCAAGAAACAGAAGGGCACAGGCGGCAACAACACCAAAGGGCAGAAGGTGAAGGACGACAAGATCATTGCAACCATTTGCAAGCCCGTACTAGCCAACGCTCGGGAGTTGGCCGAGCTCAGCGCTGTCTGCTACCTCAGGCACGAGATGGACGCTGGCCAAGGCATGATCGCAGCCGCAGTCGCGGCAGGGAAGCAATACAACGACGAGAGCATGGCCCTTCGCAAGCGGAGCGAATCAGGAGAAAAAGTCGACCACAAATCTCGCGGGGCTCCCCATTTGTCGGCATTCATGGCAGTGATGGAGTATGGGGCCACCAAGGCGGTGGCAGAGGAGGCAGATCCCGCGAAGCTTCAGAAGGCCGAGCACTTGAGGCGGGAGATGCGCGGGCATTGGGACGAGAGACTTTCCAAGGCCCCGATGACCGAGGTGGAGAGGGCAGCCCAGTATTTTCGGGCCCGTCTCCATCGGGAAGAAGCAGGGAAACGGAGGATGTGCACGTTCTTGTTTCGGATGGACCTGAACACCCAGATGGGCTCCGCGGTGGGCCCCATGATCGAGAGCCTGGTGTCTGTGGAGGGGGGCTCGTTCCTCTCAGGCTCGGCCCCGCGCGGGCCATTGGAGAGGGAGATCTCGAAGTATCTGGACCGCAACAAGAACGACTGAGTAGGCAAAGTGAGGACCAGGCCGAGTGGTTTCGCAACAGTTCCAGAGTTGCTGAGTTGATTTCCTCGGGTCGTGTGTCTCGGGACCAGGTGGAAAGGGCCCTCACTAGGCCCCGAGTTTTTGAGGAGAGACCCGTTGGCGTAGCGGTGCCTGAGGCACCAACAGTACCTGTCGTAGTTCTGAATCGTGGTAGAGGCCGACACTCTGGGCGCGAGAGGCGGGGGGTGAGCTCTGCGGGGCGGGGGAAGGGAAGAGGTCGTCGCGCCTAGGTGCGCGGGCCCCCTCGGAGGGCCGCGTGCCCATAGGGGTGCCTGCCAGGCCAGCGCAGTTCGGGCTGTGAGCCTTTTTCAGGCTTGCATCGTAAATGGTGTGGTTTCGAAGGAACTTTCTCAGAGTACAGTCTGATTTAACGAGGTTAGGGCCTGGCCAGCGTTCAGACATGGACTCCACGAGATTCTGCTCTGCTCTGCTCCTCCTCCTCCTCCTTCTCCTCCTCTCCCTCCTCCTCCTCCTCCTCCTCCTCCTCCTCCTGCTCCTCCTCCTCCTCCTCCTCCTCCTCCTCCTCCTCCTGCTCCTCCTCCTCCTCCTCCTCCTCCTGCTCCTCCTCCTCCTCCTCCTCCTCCTCCTGCTCCTCCTCCTCCCCCCCCCTGCACGGCAGCCTGAAAAAGATTGCTGGTCGCAAAGGGTGCGGCAGTGGGAGCCGACGCAGCAGCATCCCCCTCTGCAGTGCGTCGTCGTCGCCGTCGTTGTTGTCGCGTTGTCCTCGTCCTCGTCCTCGTCGTCGAGGTCGTGATCGTCGTCGTCGTGGTCGTCGTCGTCGACTAAAGCCGGCCCCCCCCCCAATGGGGCATCTGCAGTTTCCGCAATGCGTCGTCGTCGTCGTCGAAATCGTCTTCACCGTCATCGTTGTCGTCGGTCGTCGTCGTCGTCGTCGATTACCATGGGCCTACACAGCACCCCCCCTTTGAGGCATCCGTCCGCAGTTCGTCGTGCTCGTCGTTGTCGACTGAAGCGGGCCTACGCAGCACCCCCCCTCCCCATGGGGCATCCGCAGTGCGTCGTCGTCGTCGTCGCTGTCGTGGCCAACCGTCGTCGTCGTCGACTGTCCTCGTCGTCGTCGCCGTCGCCGTCGCCGTCGTCGAAGACTACATCGTGCATGCGCAGCACTCCGCCCGCACCTCATGGAGCATCGGCAGTGCATGCGTCGTCGTCCGCCGTCGCCATCGTCGTCGCCGTCGTCGTCGTCATCATCCTCGCCCCCGCCGTCGTCGTAGGACACTGCAGTGAAGGGGGGGGAGAGAACGACCAGGAAGAACCCTTTCCCTTTGCCGTTGCCGCGCCCCCCCCCTCGCCCGATTCTTGCCTGTGGCCTTGTCGGCAACGCACGCCAGCTGAGACGCATCTTGCCCCCGCCTTCTCTTTCTCTCCTGCCTGTGGCCAGTTCGGCCCCACCGCCCCGCTGTTGCGAAGGCGTTGCTGCCCTCTCCCGCTGAAGCGGCGCCGCCTGCGTCGGGCCTGTCGCCCTCCTGCCGTCGGCCGGGTGTGGGCGCTGATCACCGGCGCCGCCGCCGTGCGTTTTCCTTTGACGGGCGCCCCCCCCCCGCGATCCGCCCGAGCACAAAAACTATTTGTTTGATCACGCGCCCCGCTTGTCCCTATTAGTCACAAGCTGGCAAAATCCAGGGGAGGGGGTAAACCCCTCCCCGAAGGGGAAGAAGGAGGGGTGGAAGAGGAAACTTTCCAAACCACCGACGCCCAGAGGGCTGGTAGGATATAGGCAGGGAGGGCCCGCGGGCACGCCTGCAGGCAGTGAGGGGGGGAGGCAGGGCCTGCGGGCGGGGAGGGCCTGCAGGCGCGCCAGTAGCCAGGGAAGGACGGAGGCAGGGAGGGCCCACGGGCCAGGAGGGCCTGTAGGCGGCGGGGGCCCATAGTCGGGAACCTTGGTTTGGCGCATCGTTCCGCCGCTTCTGGCCCGCCGGGCTTCGGCGCCACTCGCTATCCAAGCCCCGGTCCCCAGGCGTCAATTTCCTGAGCCTTCTTCCCAGCGCCCCGCGGAGCGGAGCGACACGCTATCCGCTCGCAGGGCAGAGCTTGTCGCCCAGACCGCTGCCGCGACGCGCTAAGCAAAACAATTCCTGACCGTGTAGGCAGAGGGGCGGGGAGGGGAAGGAGGCGCGCGGCTTGCGGGAGAGCGCTGCACACGGTACCGCATGGTCGAAGCCGCCACTGGCCCCCCTTTCGGAACGGCCCCTGGCCGCTTCCGCGAAGCCGCCCGAATGATGCCTCCCGTCGCGAGCTCCAGCCGCAAGCCGAGTGGCAGGTGAAAGGGCGAGGGGAAGGAGGCTCGCGGCGCGCGGGAGAACGCAACCAACGGCCCGCAGCAGCGCCTGGAAGAAGATAGGACCAGGAGCTTGAAGCCGCCACCGAGCGTCCCGTTGAACAGCTCCCGCTCCACCGCCGCCAGGTCGCATGTCAGGTACTCCCCCCTCGCGAGCTCCAGCCGCACACGCCGAGTGGCAAGGCAGTGGGGGGGAAGAGGGGAGGGGCGCGCGCGCGACGCGTGGGAGAACGCTGCCCACGGAAACGCCACGCCGATGACCATGACCAGCACCTCGAAGCCGCCGCCCAACCGCCCTTGTAACGGTCCACGCTCCGCCTCCGCCGAATCGCTTGCCAAGCTCCAGTCGCCCTCTGGGAGACAGGTGGGGATGTGCGACGCGGAAGGGAAGGAAGCGAAGGATGAGGGAGGCGAAGGAGAAGGGAAGAGGGGGAGAGGGATGGAGGAGCGCGGAGCGCGGAGCGATGAGGGAGGAGGAGCAGGAGTAGAAGGAGGAGTTGGAGTAGGAGGAAGAGGGGGAGGTGGGGGAGGGGAAGGGGAGGAGGAGGAGGAGGAGCAGGGGGGAGGAGGAGGAGGAGGAGGAGGGAGGAGGAGGAGGAGGAGGAGGGAGGAGGAGAGGAGGAGAAGGAGGAGGAGGAGGAGGAAGAGAGGAGGAGGAGGAGGAGGAGAAGGAGGAGCAGGAGAAGGAGGAGGAAGAAGAGGAGGAGGAGCAGCAGCAGCAGCAAGAGGAGGAGGAGGAGGAGGAGGAGGAGGAGGAGGAGGAGGAGGTAAGGAGAAGAGGTAAGGAGGAGAGGTAAGAAGGAGGAGAGGTAAGGAGGAGGAGAGGTAAGGAGGAGAGGGAGGAGGAGGAGGACGACGACGAGGGAGGGTGGAAGGAGGAGGGGAGGAGGGAGGAGGGAGGAGGGAGGAGGAGGAGGAGGAGGAGGAGGAGGAGGAGGAGGAGGACGGGGACGAGGACGAGGAGGAGGAGGAGGAGGAGGAGGAGGAGAAGAGGGGTGGTGGAGGAGGAGGAGGAGGAGGAGGAGGAAGAGGAGCGCGATAGCGATTGTGAGAGTGACCTTGTTGGCGATAAAAGCGGCGAATGGAGTGATGATGATGGTGATGATGATGATGATGATGATGATGATGATGATGATGATGATGATGATGTTGAGGTTGAGGTTGATGATGATGATGTTGATGATGATGATGATGACGATGATGGTGGTGATGATGATGGTGGTGATGGTGATGGTGATGATAATGATGATGATGATCATGATGATGATGCTGATGATTATGATGATGATGATGATGATGATGCTGATGATGATGGTGATGGTGATGGTGATGGTGATGGTGATGGTGATGATGATGATGATGATGATGATGATGATGATGATGATGATGATGATGATGATGATGATGATGATGATGATGAGAAAGAGGATGAGGAAGAGGATGAGGAAGTGGAAGTGGAGGACGACGAGAAGGACGAAGGCCAGAAAGAGAAAGGGCAGGAATTGGATGATGACGCGGACAAGGACAGGGAAGGGGACGAGGGCGAGGGCGAAGCGAGGGACAGGGCGAAGAAAAGGATGGGGGACAACCGCGAGGATACGGTAAGCCGTAAGGGCGAGGAGGAGGAGGGGGGGTAGGAAGAGGGCGAGGACGAGCACGAGGATGAGGACGAGGACGAGGGCGGGGATGAGGGCGGGGACTGAGATGAGGACGAGGGCGGGTAGGAGGACGACGAGAACGAGGGCGAGAGTCGACGAGAACGGCGAGGCCGAGGCTGGGAGTGCCGCGCGCGCGGCCGCCCCCCTCTGCGAGGTGGCCCTGCTGGAGCACGCGCCGCAGGCCCCCGTGGTCCCCCAGCTGGCCCGCCAGAGATCCTCGTCGCCGATGGCGCCCGCGTTCGTCGGGGTGCCGGTGGCCTGGAGGGGGTGGAGGGTCGGGAGCCTCGAGACGGGGGTCAGTGCAAACGGGGGTCAGCCAGAGCGCCCCGACCTTGCAGGATCCTGCAGGGCCAGGGTCGCATTGACCTGGGTTTGGGTGCAGGATCCTGCAGGATCTTGCAGGATCCTTCGCATTGACCCGGGTTGGGGTGCAGGATCTTGCAGGATCGTGCAGGATCCTGCAAGGCCTGACTGACCCCGGTCTGGATTGACCCGGGTCAGAAGGTCCCCGAGAGGGGAGGGGGGGGGGGGCAGGAGGGGCGTGATGGTCGGCGGCTCCAAGATGGGGTGCGAGGTGAAAGATCGAGGTCGGCTCGGGGAGGGTGCCCTAGTGCTCTTCGTGCTTGTTGGGAGTTCGTGTGCAGCCTGGGGGAGGGTACTGGCCAGCGGAGGGTCTCATGGTCTTGAAGGTTGTTGTTCTGGCTTACGTAGGTCCGACTGTCGTCGGCGGTTCCAGGATGGGGTAGGAAGGGGCCCTGCGTTGAATTTACATTGTTGGGGGCCCCCCGTCCTATGGGCATCGCCCCTCGGGGCCTCATCTGTGAACTGCCGAGGCAGGGGAGCGACTGTGGTCGGCGGCGAGCGAGGGGGGAAGTGAGAAGGAGAAGGCCTTCTCAGAAGGCGGCGGGACTTCTCAGAAGAGCACCGACCCTCTGAAAAGCTTTCTGCGTGCTTCCGGGGAGGGCTCAGAAAACCTCTCAGAAGGTCGGGGGACGTCCGAGCCTTCTGAAAAGGCCCGCCCCTCCTCATTTCTTGCGATCCCAAACATGCATCGTGGGTTAGCGACGAGTCCCGTTTCCATAGGCAGTCGCGGGTTTCCGCCGCCGAGCGAGGCGGCACCGGCCGCATTTGGGGGAGGGTACTTCCCCCGATCCATGGATGTGGCGACCGCGCGCCAAATCCATGGATCGCTAATACATGTTTGCGCGCCCCCGATCCTCACTTCCCCCCTGGGCTCGCCGTCGGTGTGGATCGGGAACCGAGGGTCGAGGTTCGTGGCGTTCTACTGCCTTCCCGGGCCTCCCTGCAGGGCGTCCTTGTCGCCGCCGCTGGGCGCGGCACGAGGGGCTGGACAGGAGCCGACCCGCGGCTGTGAGGTCCGAGGCCTGGGCCTCGCGGCGTCGCGACGAAGAACGCGACGAGCGTTTCCCAGCAGGTTCGGCCACCGGAGGGCTGTTTTCGGGCTGCGTGGACAATCCAAAGCGACCCGCGACGAAGAGTTTGCTTTGGGGGATAAGTCGGAGGTTCCAGAGGAGGAGGAGGAGGAGGACGACGACGACGACGAGAAAAAGGAGGTCCCAGGGTCAGCTTCGAGGAGGACGACGCAGGATGAGGAGAAGCAGCCGCTGGGGGGGCAGGAGGAAGAGCGAGGATGGAGAAGCGGGAGGACGACGGCGAGGGCGAGGGCGAGGGCGAGGGCGAGGGAATGGAGGAGGGTGGGGGAAAGACACGTGACTTAAGGATGACGAGGAAGATGCTGGAAGGGCGGGAGAGGAGGGGGAAGAAGAACGAGGGTGTAAGACGACGAGGCCGAGGAAGGCGAAGTGGCCGCTGGGTCAGAGAGCTGGCCCTAGTGCATCGTCCCCTCCTCCTTCGCTGTGCCCCCCCCTGTCGCACGACAGGGGCGCGGAGCACTTGGGCATCCGGGCGTGTCCTGGGAGCCACCTTGCGTCCCTACCGGTCCCGAGCCCTCGCGACGGCTTCGCGAGCCTCGAGACGGGATCGATGCAAACACGGGTCAGCCAGAGCGACCGATGTTGCAGCATCCTGCAGGGCCAGGGCCGCATTGACCCGGGCTTGGGCGCAGGATCCTGCAGGATCTTGCAGGATCTTTCGCATTGGCCCGGGTTTGGGCGCAGGATCTTGCAGGATTCTGCAAGGCTTGACTGACCCCGGTCTGGATTGACCCGGGTCAGAAGATCCCCGACGGCTGTGGGGTCGTCGAGGACTGCGCGCGCAAGCTGCAGCCATGGTGGTACGGGCATCCACGCCCCCACCCCGGTCATGTCCATGGCCTCGAAGCATCGGTGGGTTATGCCCCTCGTGGCACGGTCGGACCGAGGTTGAAGGTCGAGGTCGGTTCGGGGAGGGTACCCTAATGTTCGTCGTGTTTGTTGAATGTTCTTGTGCATCCTGGGGGAGGGTACCCTCGAGTGGTCTTGTGGTTTGAGTTGTTTGGGCTGGCGGAGGGTCTCATGTCTCATGCTCTTGAAGGATGTTTTTCTATCCCAGGTCCGACCGTATTCCTTCCTGCCTCCTTGGTCAAGCTCACAAGCTGGTGTGCCGCCCGCACCCGCCGCACCTGGTGGGACCAGCGGCGCGGGTGAGCCGAGCGCCTCGAGCTCCCTCTTTGGCCCTTCCCTCCCAGCTCTCCGTCGGCCAACTACACGCAAGAGTGACCTTTCCCCGGAGTGACCTGTTGCGGGCCCACTGGGGTCCCCTGTCCGCAGAACGCGAGGCGACAGTGGCATCTTGCGCGCTCGTTCGGCCTCCCCGCGGCCCTCGAAAAAGCCGCGCACCAACGGTCACTCTTACCCAGGGTCACTCCTGCGTGTAGCCGAACTGGGGCCCCGGCCGCCACTCCCGGCAAAAGGTGGAATCTCTACCAAAAAGGCCCTGGAGGAGGAGGAGGAGGAGGAGGAGGAGGAGGAGGAGGAGGAGGCCCTGGAGGGAGGCCCTGGAGGAGGAGGAGGAGGAGAGGAGGAGGAGGAGGAGGAGGAGGAGGAGGAGGAGGAGGAGGAGGAGGAGGAGGAGGAGGGAGGAGGAGGAGGAGGGGAGGGAGGGAGGGAGGGAGGGAGGGAGGGAGGGAGGGAGGGAGGGAGGGGGGGAGGGAGGAGGGAGGGGGGAGGGAGGGAGGGAGGGAGGGGAGGGGGAGGGAGGGAGGGAGGGAGGGGAGGGGAGGGGGGGAGGGGAGGGGAGGGAGGGGAGGGGAGGGGAGAGGGAGGGGAGGGGAGGGAGGGGAGGGGAGGGAGGGAGGGGAGGGGAGGGGAGGGGAGGGGAGGGGAGGGAGGGGAGGGGAGGGGGGGAGGGAGGGGAGGGGAGGGGAGGGAGGGAGGGGAGGGGAGGGGAGGGGAGGGGAGAGGGAGGGGGGAGGGAGGGAGGGAGGAGGAGGAGGGAGGGGGAGGAGGGGGAGGGGGAGAAGCCTGCGGCGGCGGCCGCGGCAGCGGTGGACGGGCGGCGCGAGCGGCCCATGGCGCCGCAGAAGCCGCCGTGCTCGGCCTCCGCAGAGGCGCCGTCGCCCTGCGCGCCAGGCGGTCGCCGCCGCCATGGCCGTCTTCAGGTGCGCCCCCAGAGGCCGCGCCCACAGCGCGACCATTGCGCCGACGTCTGACCCCGAGCCAGGTGGCTGCCCTGGCTCGGGCGCCCGTGGGCCAATTGCTCGATCGCCCGTCGCTGTGGCCCCTGGACACAGGCGCAGTGGCCGCTCGGTCGCGGGGCGGCTGCCCTGGCTCGGTCGGCCGTGGGCCCCCACATGGCGGACGTCGACATCCAAGGGTCCTCTCAGGCCCCGTGGCGCCTGTGGCGCCACAGCCTGACGAAGGACGAGCTCGGTCTGCTGGCGCTCTGGCGCGGTGGGGCCGCTCGGACCCCGACGCGGCGGCCCCACGCTGAGGGCCCCCAGCCCGTGCTGCGGAGAACTCGCCGCGTCCGCCCAGCACTGTTGGGCCGAGAGCCCCCCGCTTCGCTCCCGATCGGGCCGCCCTCGGTCGGACTTGTGGTGTCGCCGAGGGCTGGTGGGCTGTCCAGCCCAGGGTCACGCCGCAGACGGGCTGGGTCACTACCAGAGCCGGCCCCGCCTCTCAGGACGGGTCCGTCCAGGCCTCCTAGATACGGTCCGAGTAAGTGGGGTCGGAGGATCGCTCCGCATCGCCGATGCATCGGCGATGCGGCTCGATGTGGAGCGCGAATTTCTCCACGCCGACGTCGCCGGTGCACTGGCGATGTCTTCGATGTATCGCCGATGCATCGCCGATGCATTGGCGATGCGGTGCGATCCTCCGACCCCATCTTCTCGGACCCCTGCTAAGAGGCCTCTGCTACAGTTGCAGGCGGTCTCGCGCAGGCTCGGGATGCGCATCCTGGAGGCCTGGAGGCCCTTCCGCGGCATGCCGGCCCGGCCCCGGCCCGCTAGAGGGCTTGCGGCACCACGGCGGCTCGGCGGCCAGCGGCTGCCGGCCCTCACGGCGCTCTGCCCCTGAGGCGGCGGCCCGCGCCGTTCCTCCCCCAAGCCCCCCCTTTCTCTTGGCATCGCTCGGTCGGACGCGTGCATTGTTTTCTTCTCGGCGAGCACCCTCGAGGACCGCCCTGGATCCTCGAGCCGAAGACAAACACACGCACGACCCGCACAACCGCACGGGGAATGGACGTCCGAGCGGCCCTGGCACGGCTCGGGTGGGCGCGGCGTTTCGGGTCGACGGCCGAGCCTCCGACCACGACTGCCCGCCCTGACGACGACGGCGGCTCCGCCGCCCCTCCCCCGCCCCCGCCCACCGGTGGCGGTGTGGTGGCAGCTGGTGCGGCGCCCTGCACGCTTCAGAGCCGGACTGGTCGACTACACAGTGGTGACCCATGCCAAGAAGCACCCTTCTTGCCTCCAGGGTGCCCTGGGTTTCTCGGGTTTTGAGGTTTTGCCACGGAAAGTGCGACGTCCCCATACCAAAAGTCAATGGACGCCCTGGGGTCTCAGGGTTGGGTTTCTTGTGGAAGGTTTCTTGTAGTCGGGACCCCACTGTACACGTACGAGTGACCCTTCGCCAGAGTGACCTTTGGTGGGCCTTGCGGATTTCCCCGACCGCCGAACGCGAGGCGGCAGTGGCGCGTTTTGCGCGCTTGCTTTGGGCCATCTCCGCGGCCCTCGAAAAAGCCGCGCACCAACGGTCACTCTTTCCCAGGGTCACTCCTGCGTGTGGCCGAACTGGGGCCTGGCCGCCACTCCTGGCGGATGGTGGAGCCCCTACCGGAGAGGCCCCAGCGCCGACCTCGTCCCACTTACTCCCCCCCCTTCCTCGCGGGACTCGGAATCGAGTTGGCTAGGTCGAGTCTGGCTTGGTTCTGGGCCTTCCGTTACGTTTGACCCTGGTCGGGAGTGGCCTTACAGTCGGGGTCCTGAAGAAGGAACCCTTTTCGTTGGGGAGGGGCTCCGTGTTCCTTAATTGTTTCGCAGCTTGCCTCAGGTTTTCCTTATGTTTTCGATCGGAAGTCGAAGTTGAACTTATGGAAAAAAGAGGCCTCGTTCCTTATTTAGGGTTCCTTAGGGCAACGCCCCGACTGTAGCCGATTTTTGGCCGGAATTATCTGTTCGGCCTCTGGCCAGAGGCCGACGGCGTCAAGGGCAGAGGCACCCAGCCGAGAGCAACTGCAAGGCTCTGGGAGTGGGCAATCGAGGGGCTGAGGGAAGCCCCCCCTCCAGCCTCCCCCACATCCCTTTCGACACTCTCCCCATCTCCTTCCCCATCCCCATACACACACCATCCGCCCCACACACACACACACACACACACACACACACACACACACACACACACACACACGCGCACGCACGCACGCACGCACGCACGCGCACGCACGCACGCACGCACGCACGCACGCACGCACGCACGCACGCACGCACGCACGCACGCACGCACGTACGTACGTACGTACGTACGTACACACAACACACAACACACACAACACACACACACAACACACCATCCCCCTCTCTGCCATCCCTCGCCTCTCCTTCCCTCCCTTCCCCCTCCCGCTCCGCGGCCCGATCTGCGTGTGCAAGGGAAGGGGAGGGAGGCCTCCCTTTCTCCCCCCCCCCCCTTCCTCCCTCCCCCCTCCTTCCCAGAAGGAGAGTCCTCCTCAGCTCCCGCAGGGGTGCGATGCAGCCACGGGGGCATGCCTGCCCAAAGCCTGGCAGCACAGTGATGAGTTGGCCACGCCGTCCTGCACACTGCCTCGCGATTTGCAATCCTGTCCCCCTTGGCCCATTACGCACTTGCTATTCCCAACCATCCTGTGGTGTTCGGTGCTCCCTCCTCCTCCTCCTCCACCTCCTCCGCCTCCTCCTCCTCTAATTACTCCCCCTCCTCCCTCCTCCTCCTCGCCTCTGCCCTCTTGGTCGTAATCATTATCAGCATCATCGTCATCATCATCATGGTTATCAGTATCATTATCATTATCATTATCATCAGCAGCAGCATCAGCATCAGCATCGTCAGCATCAGCATCATCATCGTCATCACGACATCATCGTCAGCACCATCATCAGAGCAATCATCATCATCAGCATCAACATCATCAGCAGCAGCAGCAGCATCATCATCATCAGCAGCATCATCATTGTCATCGTCTTCCCAATCATCACCATCATCACCACCATGATGATTTCGGCACCCTCACACGCTTCCTGGCGCCATAAGGAGCTCCGCCGAAGGTCATGCGTCCGCGCTACCCAATTTCGGCACAGCCCTCACACGTTTCGTGACCCCATAGGGGGCTCGACCGAAGGTCCTCGCGGCGCAGCCCGCATGCGCCCGCGCCACCCATGTCAGCATATCCCATCACACGCTTCGTGGCCCCATAGGGAACTCCACCGAAGGCTTCTGCGGCGCAGCCCGCGTGCGTCCGCGCCACCCATATCGGCAGACCCCTCACACGCTTCGTGGCTGCATGAGGAGCTCCACGAAAGCCTTCAGCGGCGCAGCCGGCATGCGCCCGCGCCACCCATTTGGCAGACCCCTCACACGCTTCGCGGCCCCACAGGGGGCTCCTCCGAAGGTCCCAGCGGCGCAGCCCGCATGCGTCCGCGCCACCCATATCGGCACGCCTTTCACACGCTTTGTGGCCCCGTAGGGGAGATCCACCGAAGGTCCCAGCGGTGCAGCCCGCATGCGTCCGCGTCACCCGTTTCGAAGCACCCTTAACACGCTTCGAGGCCCCGTAGGGTAGATCCACCGACGGTCCCAGCGGCGCAGCCCGCATGCGCCCGCGCCACCCATTTTGGCACACCCCGTCACACGCCTCGTGGCCCCGTATGGAGCTCCTCCGAAGGCTTCAGCGGCGCAGACCGCATGCGTCCGCGCCACCCATTTCGGCACGCCCCTCACACGCTTCGTGCCCACACCGGGAGCGCCACCGAAGTCCATGCTCTCACACGTGCGGCGCCCACAGCTGCATGCCAGGCTAACGTCTGCGTCTCGCTGCTGTTGTCGCCTCTTGGAGAAGAAAGGGTTCCCCCTGCCAGGTGGCCGGGATGGCCCAGCCGCGGCGCTCTTCCTCACCGGTCCACGTGGGCATGCCGGCGCGGGGGTGGCCCAAAGGGGGGTCAACAGGAGGGGCGGCGGATGAGGGGGAGGAGGAGGAGGAGGAGGAGGAGGAGGAGGAGGAGGAGGAGGAGGAGGAGGAGGAGGAGGAGGCGGGAGGGTGGCAGGGGGAGGGGAGGAGGAGGAAGAGGAGGAGGAGGAGGAGGAGGGGAGGAGGAGGAGATGGAGGAGGAGGAGGATGAAGAGAGGGAGGAGGAGGAGGAGGGAGGAGGAGGAGGAGGAGGAGGAGGAAGAGGATGAAGAGAAGGAGGAGGAGGAGGAGGAGGAGGAGGAGGACGAGGGTTTCGGGAGGAGAAGCGAGGGAGGTGGAAGAGGAGGAGGACCAGAATAGCCAGGATGCACTCCCCCGTCCGAAGCCCTCCCCCCGAACTCCCTACAGGAGCTCGCTCAAGTCCCTACAGGAACCGCCCCGTTGGAACACGGGGGCCCCAGGGGCCTGCCGTTCACGCGAGAATCCCGTTATGACCAGGAGCTGTCCAGCATCGTTTTGCTTATAAAGTGAAGACCCAAAAAGGCTAGGACCATGAAATGTAAAAAAGTGTCCAGCGAGACCACCGTTTGGGAAAGGACCGCTCCAGCGAGAGGCCCGTGTGGGAAAGGAGCCGTTCTCTACGCATGCGCAGGTGCTGGGCAGTCGTAGAAAAAAGTCCCGCCTTGCGCACTGGCAGCGTCCCAGGCGGGAATCCATGTTGAAAGGGCTCCTCCTCCTCCTCCTCCTCCTCCTCCTCCTCCTCCTCCTCTGACCGTCACATTTTAGAACGCTTCCGGCGAGGGCACCGTTCTGAAACCGAGCGGCCATCCATCCTGTTTGTGCAAGAGGCTCATACGCCAGTCCGCCGAGCCCCAGAAGGAGGTGAGACACTGCGACGATCGTGGACCACCCCGCAACCGTGCGTGGGCTGTGGCCTAGAAGCCTCTTGAATGCGTACGAGGGTCTCTTGGGATGCCTGTCGGGGGCATCTTGTAGGGCTCTTGGGGGCATCTGGGAGGCTTCCTGGAGGCTTCTTGGGACCTCTGGGGGGCCTCCTGATGGCCTCTCGGAAGCTTCTTGGGTTCTTTCGGGGGCGCCTCGGGGGCCTTTGGGGGGCTCTTGGGGGGCCATCTGGGCGGGAAAGGCTAGACGTGTGAGTTCGTATCCCCCCCTCTTCAGCCCTTCTTGGATCGTCCTGATGCCCCTGGGGCCCTCTTGGGCCGTCTTGGGGCCCTCTTGGGGGTTTATCGAGGGCCGCTGGGAAGACGAAACAGGCGAGTAGACTAAAAACATCAGTTGTCTGGAGGGGATGGGATGATGTTTGTGTCTTGGGGCCCTATCGGCGGTCCTCTGGGAGCACTCTTGGGCCGTCTTGGATGCATCGTGGGCCGTCTGGAAACCATCCTTCGCGGACATGGGGCTACCCTTGGCTGTGTCGTTGCTCTCTTGGACTGTTTTTTCGCTTTGCTTGGGTCCTCTTGGCCCGGCTTGGGGCGCTTGATGCCCCTGGAGGCTCCCGCAGACGCGGTGACGAGTCCATAGGCCCACGGGGGGGGGGCCTCCACCGGCATGTGCGACGCCAGGTGAGGGGGATTGGGGGAGAGGGGGAAAACCAATCATCTCGCACGCATTGTCACCCCGTGCAAGCGGGGATCGGCGGACCGAGTGGAAGCTCCTAAGACGACGGCGCGGCGCGAAGGCGAGAGCCACAGCTTGAAGACGGGCCACCCTGCAGCCCTGCGGTTGGGCGTCCGAGGCCTCGAGATGGTTCCAAGATCGCCCACGAGAGCTCCAAAAGAGACCTTGCAGGCTCCAAAGAGGCCCCGAGAGGCTATGTTCCTGGCTCCAACGGGGGGGGGGGCTAATTGGTGCCGCCCCTCCGCTCAAAGCGAGAAGCATTGAAAAACACCAGCGTTTGAAGTTGGCTGGCTTCGGGGGAGCATCCTTGGGAGGCTTAGTGCCAAGAGAGAGCTACAAGCTCAGAAGGAGGAGGAGAAGGAGGAGCAGCAGCGGCAAAAATGAGTGAAGAGGAGGAGGGGGTGGCCGAGGAGGAGGAGGAGGAGAAGGAGGAGGAGGGGGAGGAGGAGCCTGAAGGCGAGTGGAAAGTGGCAGCGAGCGCAGAAGGAAGAGAGGAAGAGGGGGAGGAGGGGAGGAGGAGGAGGAGGAGGAGGAGAGGAGGAGGAGGAGGAGGAGGAGGAGAGGAGTGGAGGAGGAGGAGGAGGAGGAGGGAGGAGGAGGAGGAGGAGGAGGGAGGAGGCGGAGGAGGAGGAGGAGGGGGAGAAGGAGGAGCGGGGAGAAGGAGGGGGAGGAGAAGGAGGAGGAGGAGGCGGAGGAGGAGGAGGAGGAGGAGGAGAAGGAGGAGGAGGAGGAGGCAGAGGAGGAGGAGCAGGAGGAGGAGGAGGAGGAGGAGGAGGGAGGGCCTGCCCCTCATTGTCCTTCTCCTCCCTTCTCCCTCCTCAAAAAATGTGTCCTCCTCCCTCCCGCGTAACCCCTCCCCGCCGCGTCCTTATCATGCCGTTCCTCCTCTTCCGCATCATCATCATCATCATCTAAATCATCATCATCATCATCAGCAGCAGCAGCAGCAGCAGCAGCAGAAGCAGCATCATCATCAACATCAGCGTCATCATCATCAGCAGCAACAGCAGCAACAGCAGCAGTAGCGTCGTCATCATCAGCAGCATCAACATCATCAGCATCAGCATCGGGATCAGCATCATCAGCAGCATCGGTATCAGCATCGACATGGTCATCATCAGCAGCAGCATCAGAATCGTCGTCGTTGTCGTCGTCGTCGCCATCATCGTCGCCATAACCAGCATCATCATGAGCAGCACCCTCATCGTCATCAGTATCATCGTCGTCATCATCAGCATCATCATCAGCAGCATCATCAGCATCATCCTTATCGTCTCACTTATCCTTCCCTCCGTCCCTCCATCCATCCCTCCCCTCCCGCCCCCTCCCCCTCCAACTCCCCTGGCCTCGATCCTCCCCACCCCTCCCGCGGGCACGCGGGCACCCGCAGTGTTGGCAGGATGTGCCCCGAGGCACGAGAGCAGTCGGTGCCGAGCCCGATGCGGCCCGATCCTCCCGCGGGAAGCCTCGGCGGGGCCGCGTGGCCTGATCGTAAAGAGGGAGGCAAGAGGTGCAGCAGACAACGGGAAGAGAGGAGAGATCAGGGAGGACAGAGAGAGACAGACGAGAGAGAGAGAGAGAGAAACAACAACAGAAAAAAACGAAGAGAAAGAGAGAGAGAGAGAGAAGACAGGGGGGAGGGAGGGTGGAGGGAGGGAAAGAGTGGGAATGGGGAGGAGGGAGGGCGTAGGGCGGAGGGAGGGGGGAGGGGGGAGGAGGGGAGGAGGGAGGCGAGGAACGAGGAGGAGTAGGAGGAGAGAATCGAGGGCGGAGGCGGGCTGGGGTGGCCCATGGGGCGGCGTTCGCATCCTCAGACATGGACGCTCTTCGCGAGGCTGACCGAGCAGGAGGAGGCCCCCGCGACGGAACATCCCCACACCGAGCACTGTGCCTCAAGGCGGGCAGGTCCATGGCCACCTCGTGCCAGGAAGGCCCGCGATGGAGTGGACAGCGGCCGTCAGGAGTAGGATGGGCCAGCAGAGAGTCCGCATCTCAGCTGCCGGGGGCTTCAGCCCCCGCCATCAGAACAGCGCGCGCTGAGCACCATTGCAGAGCAGCAGTCAGGGGTGGGGGCCGAAGACCCTCCCTGGGGAATGGAGGGGCCCCCTGCCCAGCCCAACCTGACACGTCGAACTCGGTTGCCGCAGCGCCCCTGCTGAAGAAAAGCCCTGCGGAGGGAAAGACGGACGAGCGGAAAGGGGAAGATCGAAGGAACTTTTTTCCCAGCCCACCCCAGCCTAACACCCGCAACCCCCAGCAGAGGCCGGGGATGGTCCCTCTCAGGCCCAACCCCAGCCCGGCTTCCACGGGGGCGACCAAGAGCTCGCCCACGCACGAAGGAAGGCACAGAGGCCCCATATTGCCTCCCTCGGCCAGGCCCTGTGCGAGGGGCTCCACGTGCACATACTTGTGACGCACGTGCACGTAGTCTTTCTCAAGCATGGACCCAAGGAGGGCCAAGGCCATGCGTGCGACCCCCGCCCGGCCGGCGAGCGTACGGATCAGCTGTTTTCGCCATACCCGCGGCAATGCCTTCTGCAGACCCCCGAAAAAGCATCCAGAGAGCCCTCTGCTGCCCTATGGCTGCGGCAGCTATCTCAGATAAAGATGAGGTGTGCCTCTCCCACATATTTGACGTGGCCTCCCCGGCCCGGGGTGATGGATGCCCTGACATCGTCTCTCCATTTTCCAAGCCGGCTTGCCTCTTGCAGCAGGCCCAGCAGAGCCCGAACCATGATTAATCGGAAGTTGCCGCTCTCGTCCGCTGGGTCCTCCTTGTGCTGCGGCACAGCGTAGAGCCCTCCAGACGCGCGGATGCATGGCAAGGGCTCCAAGGCCCGCGATGTGCATCAGTAGCCACACAGCTGCGTCCAGGCTCGGGGCTCCCATCTGCAGGACGACCCTGGGCACCAGATCCGGTGTCGTGGCATCCGTCCGCGCTCACTGACCCACCGCGGAGCACACCTCGTCCTGCATGACTGGAACGTCCTGCGGCCCTGAGCCTCTCTGGTCCACGCGCCTCCCAGCAATTCTGTCGATTCACCCTGCACAGGAGCATGATAGCTCACGTCCCACGGTCTGGGCCAGGCTGACTGTGTCTGCAGCTGATTCCCCCACTCAAGGAACGACGAGTCCGCCGGTGGGAGCACGATAGAGCCCACCGTTGGGCATGGTTCGGGCCCGGCACCCCGCCGCTTCAGCACCAGAGAGAGGGTGGAAGGACGAGGAAAAGGAGGAGGAGGAGGAGGAGGAAGGGACGCATGGGAGGAGGAGGAGAGGGAGGAGGAAGAGGAGGAGGAGGAGATGGAGGAGGAGGAGGAGGAGGAGAAGGAGGAGGAGGAGGAGGAGGGGCAGGAGCAGGAGCAGGAGAAGGAGCAGGAGCAGGAACAGGAGGTGGGGGAGGACGCCTCCCCCCTGCCCCCTGGCAGGCGCAGCCGCGGCCGCAGCCGCGACCCGGCATCCTCGTGGTCCAGCAGGCCGCAGCGCCTGCCTCCCCTTGCCGTCCGCTGCGCCGGCTCCCCGCGCGCTGCAGTGGTCAAGCGGTGGCGAAACGCCTTGGCTCGCCTATAGGCCCACCACAGGAAGTTCTAAGTACCTTTTGTGGTCTGCACGAAATATGATTAGAACATGTCTGGCTGAGACTGTATAGTGGTAACACGTCGGGCTTGCGTTCTAAGAACATTGCGTTTGTTCTAAGACTTAAGAACATTTGGGGGTTCTAAGAACATGTCATTTCGCGGTAAGCCTGTGGGAATGCCCGGACGGCCGGTCCCTGCTCAAAGTGGGGCTCGCGCCGGCAGGCCCCTCGCCGCGTTGACAGGATGTCTTGGCCTCCTCGTTTCCCGGGTCGGGCGAAAGGAGGGGACAGTCGACGCCTCTCAGATTCGGAGGTTGATAGACCTCCTACCCTGAGACGTCGATTAGCGAATTGGCCGTTTTCGGTTCGCGAGAGGGCGTCGCGGCCGTCATGTTTGCGGGTCCAGGTCCGTCGGTTTCGGTTTTTTTGCCGTTTTCATGAAAGGGAGGTTTATTAAAGGGAGGTTTTTCCACCGCCGACAGATGCGGTCGGTACAGGTTCGAAGACGAACAAAAAAAACGCCATGAACGTTAACTTTTGGCGCTCCGCGCGGATTTCTTGGATCCGCGCTGGGCCCCCGCGGCGGCGCCTCCAGCGCCGTCCTTGGCGCGCTCCCGCGCTCAGGAAGGGGGGTCCAGCGCAGATCCAAGAAATCCACGCGGAGCGCCAGAAGATTATGTTTACGCAGCGTTCCTTGTTTTATAGATGGGGTCGGAGGATCCCGCCGCATCGCCGATGCGTAGGCGATGCGGTAAAATGTGGAGCCCGATTCTCTCCACACCGACGTCGCCGACGCATCGCTGGCGTATCGCCGATGCGTCGGTGATGCGTCGACGATGCGGCGCAGTCCTCCGACCCGATCTACTCTCACCCCATGTGGCACATGGACCATCTGGAGACCTCTAGATACGGTGGGGGCGTTCGTTAAGGAATGTGCCCAAGGGCGTCAGACTCTGGGGGGTCTCTTCTCTGATGCGGGCGGCAGCGATGACCATGGCCCTTCCACGATTGGAACTCCTCCTGCTTCCAGACCCTACACTCCTTAAAGGAGGAGGAGGAAGAGGAGGAGGAGGAGGAGGAGGAGGGGGAGGAGGAGGAGGAGCAGGATACCGAAAGAGGGGACACCCATAGCACCCCTCACCACCACCAGTTCCCCAGAGGGCATTATCGGAGGCATCCAGAAGTTTTGGCAGCCCATCTTCTCGAGCAAGATTGTGGACCCCGCGGCGGTTCAGCAGCACTTGTCCCAGCACCTGCCCAAGTTCGATTGCGCGGACCTACGGGTCCCAAGTCTTCAGGACTTTCAGAGGGCCCTCCGTAAGGTCAGACATACCGTTCCAGGCCCAAATCAGATTTCATACGCTGCATGGGCCACCTCGCTTGGATCCGCCCAGATACGTTATGACCTCATGCTGCAGATGTTCAAAAAGGACCTGGCCCCGCACCAATTCAACGATTCGGTCTGCGCATTTCTCCCGAAAGGAGATGAACCCCAGGACCAGTATGCCGTCTTTCGAGCTCCAGGTGCCACTCGCTTCCTCTCCTTAAAGAACGGCGACGCCAAACTGATCGCTCATGTCGTGAATATGGGTCTCGTGGACATGGTCAGGGATCGGACAACAGACACGCAACAGGGTTTTGTAAAGGGGCGAAGCTTTGGACAACATGCGCTGACCCTAGACTCTGAGGCCCGTAGAGCAGGTCACTCCCCAGAGGCACCACATGCCCCCCCCATACTCGTCAGCTTTGATACCAAAGCTGCCTCCCCATCCTTAGGACAGGAGTTGTTGTTTGCATCGCTGGTAGCTCACGGGGTTCCTCCAGGCCACCTCAGTGTCATTGATGCTCTTTATCACTCCCCCAGAGCCTGGGCCCGTGTAGGTGGCCGTCTTCAACACATGTTCGAAATAGGCTCAGGTGTTCTCCAGGGCTGCCCTCTCTCGGGATCGATTTGGGCCTTGGCTGTTGATGCTCTCATTAGACACCTAGCCCAGATTATAAGCACCCTCCCTGGGTCCAACAAGCCCGGTGCCTGCGCAGATCACCTGGGTCTCGTCCTCGCTCGCCTTGGGACCCTCCCTTTTCTCCTTCCCCCGTTGCGGGCCATTGCTACTCTCGCAGGACTCGAACTGCAGATCCAGAAGACAGCGATTGTGCCCTTACGGGCCCCTTTTTTCACTTGCCTTGCACTCCTTCACTCAACGCCTCTTAGTATTTCTAGCTCCTGAGTGGCAGCACATTCAGATTGCAGAATACGCGCGCTATCTAGGCGCGCTCATTGGCCCAGCAGTTACGTTAGACATCAAATGGAAAGCCGCGTGTGATAAATACTGGCTGCGCGTTGTACAATTAGCGGCGAGCGTTCCTGGCCCCGCGGTGGCGCTCAAATTGTATAAAACATGTATTATCACTGCCCCCCGTACCTCACGCAGTATTTTCCATGTCCAGCCACGTTCCTGAGGCGCGAACGTGGCACCCGACATGAGATTCTCAGGTCTCCCCCCAACTCCTGGCGCCTCGTCGACATCCTCGGTACTCGCTCGTGGTCGCATTCGTCCTCCCCCAACTCACGGATCAGTTTTCACTGGCCTCAGCGTGGCGCACGGCATCTGTCACGCTTCCCGACTGAAAGCCACTGCATCTTCTTTAGCACTTGCTCCAGACAAGCTCAACCCACAACTGACCCTGGCGCATTTGGCCCAGGCCCGTATTCGGGCCACCGTTTCTCCAGGATGTTGGAAGCGCCTTGGCATCGTCGAAAACTGGCGCGAGCTTGCTGATGGCAAACCGCCACACTCGGTCTCACCGCTCGTCTGGCGCGCAGCTCAGCAAGCGGCCGCAAATGAACAGACTGCCGCTGCCCAAGAAACCAGGCGTGTTAGGGCCCAGCGTCCCCTCGCCTCGATCCTCCATCCCTCCCTCTTCCCCGACAAGTTCGCTGAGACTTTCGCACGCCGTCTCTCATCGGCGCTACCTGATCTCGTAGTGCCACGGAATATGTCCGACCGCTGGCAGGAATTCGCCAGTCACCTCTCGAAGAAGGCCCCAGCCACCCGCTGGGCCGCATATAAGACGTTGGCGGGAGCGTCGTGGACCAGCCACCGCTTCCCCTTCGGCCCGCGCCGCACCTGTCTGCTCGGGTGCGATGCTTGCCCAGATCGTCTCGGCCATTACCTCACCTGCCCCCGCCTCTTTCACTTCCTCGCGTTACCTCGTTCCTTCCTCTCCTCGGACCCTCTCGTTCGCATCGGCCTAGGGACGCCTGGGCAACGCGCGAAGCCTGGGCACGCTATTCCTGAGGCTGCCCGTCAGACAGCACTTTCATTTCACTTCTACAACAAACTGCGTATCATCACGCACGCCGCGCCCAGCGCCGCGCTTCTTTTTACTACTGGCAATGAGTGCCGAACCGCTGCACTGAACGCAATGAGGCCGTAGCCTGAGACGAACCGGAGCGGGGACACTTGCCCTCTTCTCGCGTCTTGCCCGCTTGCCCTCGTATCTTCCCTTCTTGGTACGGTCGTTCCTCCTCCTCCTCCTCCTCCTCCTCCTCCTCCTCCTCCTCCTCCTCCTCCTCCTCCTCCTCCTCAAGAATCAAGTCAGCTTATGTTTACTTACGCCTCTGTCCTTCTAGCGCAAAATGCTCCAAAGGCCACAGCGGCTTCAAGGACGCCGCGAGGCTCTCGCATTCCTCATCCCATCATCCCTCCCGCTGCGCCCACCTTCCAAGAGTTTCCCGGCCCCTTCCGCCCTGACCCCTTTTGCCGTGTCGTCCAGGTCAGCAAGCCGCTTGACCACATCGGAGGAATCGCCCTCCATAGCCTCAAATCACCTCCTACCTCCCACCCACATGTCGTCATCATGATCATCCTTCACATGCCCATGGTCGTGGTTCTGCTGCCCCTACTCCCCCCTGATAGTGGTAGCTGGAGGAAGTATATCCCTTTCCCGCCTCCTCCTCCGTCTTCTCCTCTTCCTCCTCCTCCTCCTCCTCCTCCTCCTCATCATCATCATCATCCCCATCCTCATCCTCATCCTCATCCTCGTCCTCCTCCCCATCCTCATCCTCATCCTCCTCCTCCTCCTCCTCCTCTTCCTCCTCTTCCTCCTCCTCCTCCGCCTCCTCTCCTCCTTCCTCCTCCTCCTCCTCCTCCTCCTCCTCCTCCCTCCTCCTCCTTTTTTTCAGCGGGGTCCTCATGGTCCTCCTCAGTCTCCCGTTCTCACCCACGTCATCCTACTTCTCATCGTCACAGCAATGTTCTTCTCATCTTCCGGCTCTTTCGTTGTACTTGTGTTGCACATATTATTCCTCTTCCTCCTCCTCCTCCTCCTCCTCCTCCTCCTCCTCCTCCTCCTCCTCCTCCGCCGCCTCCCAACTCACGACCCTCGACACAGCCAGCACAACGGTTCTACGAGCTTCAGATTGTATGTGAGCCACCTCTCTCAGGGCGAGCAGACGGAAGAGCGCATCAAGTTATTTCATGATCAGGTTCGGATGTGTAAAGTCGTTCAGGGCAAACAGAAGCAAGAGCGCATCCAGCTACTTCATGATCAAGTTCGCAGTTGTAGAGCCTAGGAGTGGCACCACGACGAGAAGCAGGGGCTTGGCCCCGCCAGGCCAAATTCTGGATGCTTCTCGCGCCGCGTGCAGGTCGCCGCGTCGGAAGGCGGGGGCCAGCAGTGGGCAGCCCAGCGGCAACAAACGGGCACAGTCACCTCTGGAGTGCCGGCAGCCTGAAACAGCACGGGCAGCCTTCGTCGAAGAAGAAGAAGAACAAGAAGAGGAAGAAGAAGAAGAAGAAGAAACGCCATGTGCATAAACTTTTGGCGCTCTGCGCGGATTTCTTGGATCTGCGCTGGGGCCCCCGGGCGGCGTCTCCGGCGCCGCCCTTGGCGCGC